ACTCTGAAACTCCTGAAATCCCTCAATCAAGAGTTCTTGCTCTGCTGCGGAAAAATACTGAGCGCGCTCCTTCGACATTTTTGCCGACCAATCAAAGGGTTGCCGATCAATGTTTCTACTATCGATGCGTAGCCCCTGTTAAGCCACCCAGTGATCTCACATTACTTCATCCAGCTGTACTAATCGTCAACAACAGTTGTGTTCGGAGAACCGGGATAGCGAGCTCAAAGTTAGCGCGATGATTTGATCTTGGATGTAGTAAGCGACGTACGAAGAACGGACCCCTGGATGGCCGCTAACTTTCTGCTTATTAATTCAGATCAAACTGAGGTTATTGTACTCGGCCCTGAATAACGCTAGAAATGTGTTTTGGGGTTTGTACGTGCTTTGTCTCTAGGGGCCACCACATATTTATATATAAGCATATATAGATAAAACCACTTTTTTTACATTAGTAATTCCTTTTGTGCATAATTTTATATTATTGTTAATAATAAATTAATTAAAGCAACAAAACAACCTGAAGAGCCAGTTTGGAGCCGAAAGAGCTGGTTCTCTAAAAAGAGCCAGAAATCCCATGACTATTGTACTCGGCCCTGAAAAGCTTAGAAATATGGTATCTAACCAGATTCTTACTCTGGATGGCATTACCTTGGCCTCCAATAACGCTGTGAGGAACCTTGGAGTCATTTTTGACCAGGACATGTCCTTCAATGCACATATTAAACAAATATGTAAGACTGCTTTCTTCCATTTGCAGTTAATCCAAAATGCTGCTGTGTGTTGTTTATTCGTGATCTCTGAATTTGCATATGCCAATTCACCTGTCCAGGGGCTCGGATGTGATTGGTGGACGGAAGGATCAGCCTGGTGTAACTGGCTCCTGCTGCAAACGTATCCAATAAAGGACAATGGGGTTGGGGGGTGGAAAGTGTTACGTGCACTTTCCCCAGGAAGAGGAAGTCCAGCTTATTAGTCTGTGCCTAATGTCTTTTATTTTAAAGAGAACTTCATAAATCAGCTATGTTAGTGTGACTAAGTTACTATGGTAACTTCATCTTTAATTTAGGGGTGAGAATTTAACGCGTTAATTGCGATTATTTAATTTGAAAAAAATAAGACATTTAATTGCTCTTTGCCTTCCAAGGGAAACTTTTGTCAATGCACGATTTGCTGGTATACTGATTACACTGATGCACACAGAAGAAGGAAGTGCGTTGCTAGGACTGACATGCAGTTTAAATGTTTTTTTCCATAAATTAACTGACTTAACTGAATTAATTGACTTTATAATATTCATGTCCATATCTATTAATTCATTCTGTCGCCCATTAAAACCCTTTAAATAAAAAAAAAACATTTGTGTTTTGGGTCAAATGTTCTTGTGCAATTAAATGTGATTAATCGAGATTAATTAATTACAAAGCCTCTAATTAATTAGATAATTTTTTTTAATCGAGTCCCACTCCTACATCTGTGTTATTGGCATTGTCGCACATTTGGCATCAGGGTGAGAGAGGGTTAAGGACGAGTTTCTGACCAGGAAGTGACATAAGTTTGGCCCACATGTGGCACATCTGCAGCTCTCGGAATGACGGGACTATGTCAGAGCATGCCTCAGCCATGCTCGCCACACGTGGCCAAATGTGGGGTGATGTGTGGGCTCCATGTGGCAGAGCAGCTGGGAGCTGGGTAACTGAGCAGATGTGTCTGATGTTCAGCTTTGGGCAGCATGCTTCCTTCAAACCGCCACATTCTGCTGAGCAGCAGAGAGGGCGGGCTTATGACACGATACCTGGAACTTGGATGTCAGAACTCACAATGTCACTAGCAATGCATCGCAATAACTTTGGTGCATAAAAACACGGTCGGGCACGTTCACGGACAGAGCATCATCACTGCTCTGTGTACGGCTTTTTCTTTTAAAAAATTCAAATAAACAGCAGTGGCGTCACAGATTCAAAGTTCACAGTTTTACACCTCTCTTAATGTCCACTGTCACTAACTCCAGGTGCTAACACAGCATATGTTAGCATATGTCTGCTCTAACTTCCTGACTGGGAAATTTCTGACTTCCAGCTTCTTCAGGAGGCAACATACATCCTGCAGAGCCACAGTGTGGACGTGGCCAACCCTGGTGACCATGGGCCTGATTCCAGTCCAGACTGCAATAATCAAACAGTAAATCAGTCACTGAATACCAGTGTCAATATTTCCCTCAGACACATTGTTGGTTTGAAGAAATCATCCTCATCATCAGCTCTCACTTTGACTTAAAGTAAATCAAAGTGAATCAAATTTTACTTCCTAGAGTTTATTTCTATTTTAGTTTGTTTGAACCTTCTGATGAAAATCACAGACACAGGTCACATGATCATCAACATGTATACACACGCTGCAGTGGGTAGAGTGATGTGGAAGCTGCTTCACTGTGTACTGTACCACTGTGACAATAAACCCACTGGACTTGACGAGTGTGTGTGTGTGTGTGTGTGTGTGTGTGCGCACTCACAGACTTCCTCTCAGTCTTCAGCTCCTGAGTGTATCGTGTCAGCTCGCAGACAATTTGTGCGTTCAGGTTTTCAGCAAGATCTTCTCTCTGGATGGCGAGTTCGTTCAGCTGCTGCAGAGTCGCCGCAAACGCCACAAACCAGGTGTACCTGAAACAACCAGTCGGCTGGCCAGCTCAGCTCACACACACTTCACAGGAAGCACATTTTCACCTCACGGTCAAAGCGCGCGGCCGTAGTTTGATGGTGCATGCGCGTCACTCTCCACCGGAACTCATACCTGACCCAGACCGAGCACTGCACCCGTGTCCAGCTGACAACCATTTCCTCAGAGTTGCAGGTGCCGACTTTAACCTCGAGTCTGTCAATGTGAGGTGGAGGTCGGTGCCTGATGATGCCAGCAGGACTAACAAGCAGAGATGCGGCGACCACAGAACCCTCCAATCTATGGCTACCGCCCTCTGCAGGCAGGGGACACCTCCGCCCCTTGCCTGTGCCTACAAATTTCTGAAGAGGTTCTGAAGAGACTCCGGGAGTGAGTCCATTTACTGTAGGCAGTATGGGCCGATCGACCACTCCTCAGGGAGCACGCTCAGCAAAGTGCAAGTGTTTTCATTGCAAGCAGAAACATCTGAACCAGCATTTTCTGATCAAAACTGCGATTTCACACAACGCGATCGTGTATTTGCCAAAGCTGCGGTTTTCTGCAGCGTTCCTGACTGACCCGTACTACGAAGTTTGACTCGTGGGTGAACTCGGTACAAACAGGTAAAGACTCACCTGCTCTCATCTTCTCTGTTCCTCTTGGGGTGGTACTTCTTCGACAAACTTCTGGAGACACACAGGTGACACACACAGGTGAGACACACAGGTAGTACAGACTTTTGGGGTTTCGGGTTTTATTGAAATGAGACATTAAGGTAACACTCAGGTAATCAGTTTTACACACACATCATCTGCACTGTGAGTAAATCCAGGTACTAATGATAAACTGACTGATCAGGTATTGTTATTTATTTGAAGGAGTTTAAAGAGTTGTCTCCAAACCTCCTCACAGTTTGACTTTAACAAATGTGACAAACTAAATTCAGGTTTTCCAGGAGTTTTACATGGTCGTGATGGTTCAGGTCTTGGTTTAAGGACTATACCTGATCTGTTTGGCGTAGCTCAGCTCAATGTCGGCGCGCTCTTTTACAAACTTAGTGTATCTCTCCAGGAAGTCGATCCCCCAGCTCGTGTGTTTCTCCAAGTTATCAAACTGATCCTGAAACAGCAGACTGATGTTAGTGTGACCTTTGACCTCTGACACTCACCTGAAGCACAGCATAAATAACAATTTACTCGCTGGACCCACGTCCTCATTTTATGTTTGACAGCGTTTTAGTAGGTAAAGGTGATGCTTGGGCATGAGCTGAGCTGCGGTTTGGGGAAGGCTTTGAGGCGGCCTGGCGACGGCTCCCGGGCCCGGCAGATCCCCACGTACTGAACAGAAGTGAAGAAGTTACAGAATTGAAAAGGGGAGGAGCACGTAAACGAGAATGACAGCTTGCAGAACTGGGGGAACCTGTACAGATGAGGACCGGAAGGAGCATATTTGGAGGCGTGGTCCCACTCCTGAAATTTCGATACATAATCTCCAACAAGTAGTGTTGTGAGTTTGGTCTCACAGGCCCTCAAAGAAATGGGAAAAACAAACATGGACCATCAAATCTGAACTTCTTGATCCTGTGAGCTCACACACAACGGTCATGTCCAAATTCATGGGCTGCATCCTCCCGAGGCCGCATTTGTAGGCCGATTACGTCACAGCGACGCGCCGAAGGCTGTCCAAATTCGTAGACTCCTCCGAATGCAGCCGACTAATGCGTCCTCCTTTTCCCCGAATTTGAAGGATGGGTCGGGTGTAGGGGTGGGTTTTTATAATCGATTCATTGATTAAAATTGATTCTGGCTTGGATAAATGGCCTGCATTTGTATAGCGCTTTTCTAGTCCATAGGACCCCAAAGCGCTTTACACTACATTCAGTCATTCACCCATTCACACACACATTCACACACTGGTGATGGCAGCTACAT